GGAATATTTTTTCTCGGCTGCGTTTAAGAATCGTGATGCAAAAGAGATAGGGTGCCACCCTTCTGTACCCAATTGCTCTAAAACCGCTCCAAGGCCATTATGACTTGCATCGCAGACAACTCTAATGTCTTTATGAATATCAAAATGTTTTAATTTAACTATGTTTGCGACCCCCAATTTAATGTTTTGGAAAGCATTTTCACATTCCGCGGTCCAGTTATATTCATTTCTCTTGCTGAGAAGTGGCCTTATCGGAGCTGACATCTCCGCTATCGCTGGTAAATATTTATGCAAGCTGTGGATTGAGCCCATAAATGATTTCAGTTGAGTGACTGTTTTAGGAGCCTTTAATGCGTCTATCGGCGATGTTTTGCGTTTAAGCGGCGTAACCCCTGTTTCGGTTATACGATGACCGAGCCACTCGCATTCTCGTTTCGCAAACTCGCATTTTGGTAATTTCAGCGATATGTTTTCACGATTTAGTTTCCTGAGGATCTTTTCAACCAAGGAGATATGTTCTACTTCCGTTCCCTTGGTTGTAACCAAAATATTATCAATAAACGCGTTCGCTTGTGGGAATTCGTTCAAAATTGAATCCAATTACTCGTTGACACTCTGCCGGCATGGACGTTAGCCCGTAAAACCCTGTCCGGAATCGGTATGTTCCTGTCGACCGTCCGCCCACCAAAGAAAAGTTACAGTGCACGCTTGTTTCTACACTAAGTGGTAGTTGCCCATACGCGTACGTTAGATCCATCGTAGTAAAAAACACCTCCCCTTGTTTTTTCTCGGAAATAAGTTGTCCTATTGTATCTACAAGTTCTTTTATATTTGGCATTTGGTATTTGCTTTTATGAACTTGTTTATTAAGCTCTCGAGATTCCAATGCTAACTTCACGGACCCGTCTTTTTTTTACGGTGATGACGATCAGAGAAACAAAATATCGATCCGAACACTATTTCAATTTTTCTATATGTCGCTGTGTTAATAGCTTATCAATTTCCTTGTCCACCTTTTCTTGGAGCGTTACCGGCACTCTGCGTTCCTTCTGCTGCACTGGTACAAGATTTTTGAAAAATTCTGCTTGAACCTTGTAGTTCCTAATTTTTCCAACTCTAGTAAAAAGTTTTGGAAATAGCTTACTGAAGTATAATTGACATTGGTTCATCTGCTCATCCTCCGATTCGTCGTGCCACTCATCGCATGAATTGTCTTCCGTCCCCTGGATGTTCATTACTTCCCCCCTTGGATCTGCTTGCATCAACTGGAGTCCGAGTTTTCCCATCAAATCAAGTCCCACGATGGATGGTCTGATCCCCCAATGACTCGGACTTCTGCTTTCGTCTTCCAGCCGTTTGATGCTAACTCGAGTTCCATTCTGCCCAACATCTTGATCCGATTGTTGCTGTAATCCCGGAATCTTGTTTTAAATTAATTCCCGCTCTTCACACTGTTCTCCTCAAATCGTCTAGTGTTAAAATGGATATCGGCGATCCACTGTCAATCCAAATGTTCATCGGGTGACCATTAATGTATATTTTGAGTTTAGGTCCGGCAACTTTCAATAATGTTTCTTTCTTCCGTCTTATTGCCATAACCATGTAGTCGTCTGAACTTTCTGATGACCAGCTGTGGTGTTCTCGTTTAACGAAACCTACTGAATTTACCGCAACTTGGGGCCCCACGTCATCCGAGGGGGTATCTTCTTCCTCGAATAGCTCATCCCCTTGGATTAGTCCAACCGGTTGTCCCACCTCGACTGTCGTTTTCCCCGGCAAGTCCTCTCAAAATGCCTGACCTTTTTGCAAAAATTGCATGTGACGGCTCTTGCTGGGCATCGTTGCATTCGTTCGATCTTGCATTCGTTCTTGTGTTCGACCTCCTCCACATTTTGGGTATTGGCCCCGTCCCCTTGGCATTCCTCGTCCCCTGGATCCACGAATATTGCTGATTGGTTCCGTTTTGATCTGCAGGGAACCCCCTGGCGATGGATAAGCCGTTCCCGTGGAACCGGATGCGACGCCCTTGTAAGTCTTTGCCTACTTGTCTCCTCTTTCATACGACATCGCGATTCTCAATGCTTCCTCCGGGGTCTTAGTTTCCCGACACAGCTCGTTCTGCGCGTCCCTGTTCCTCATGTTGAATATAAATATGTCTCTCACCATTTTCCGCTCCTGGGTGCCCAAATTGCATCTTGCCGCCATTCCGCTAAGTTCTGCATAGAAAGATTCTAAGCCTTCACCCTCCTTTTGTTTCCTCGACAACATCAGGTACATTTCGTACGTTTCGTTTCGCTCTTTCTGAAAAAGAGCTACACAGGTATCCAAAAAACGTGGGTATCGTATTGTTTCCATATCTAAAAGTGGATGCTGATTATGCAAGGCTCTCTGTTCCTCGTGTCCCAGGCATAGGTACAGATTCGATATCAGTGTACGTTCACCTTCTCCCCTTGGTTTGCCACCAATGTCACCCAGGTCATTAATCTGTGCTTCAGTTAATGTCGATGCGAAGTAAAATTCCGACGAGACGAGTCCATGTTTCGCCACCATTGCCCAATGAAATCTTTGTTTCCAGTGTTCCCATAAGAGTTGTGGTTCCGCCTGATTCGGAGGCCAGAATGCCACACTTCCAAGGGGTTTTTCCCCCTCCATCCACTGGCTGCGCCATAAAAAGGATTGATAAAACGATGGCTGTTAAATACTAGATTGACTGTATTCTAGTTCGCATAAATAAGAGAGTGAACTAGAGGTCAACACATAACAGCTAGACAGTTCTAGGGTGATTGACAGGCAGGTACCAAACTCACACTTAATTATAGTATGAGAACTCTCAGAGATAAGTAAATGAAGAATAACAACTAAGATGATTGACAACTGAACATATTGTAGCCCCTGACAACCGCAACGTATTTTTTGAGCTATCATTACCTGCTTCCGGAAAAAGAGCTGACTTTAAAGTTTTGTTTCATGTCATAGTTTTAGAGAAGCAGTCCAAGGCTTTACCCAAAGGTAATTTTATTAAGCCTAATTTAGCTATGTTTTACCGACAATAGATCACCTCGCAAATTGTAGTTTACGAGAATCTTTTGACCTGTCAGCAATATCTTTGATGATGCAAGCAACACTAACAGTTGCACCGCAATGCCACGTTTGCAAGAATAGTTTTTGTTCCGACCGTTGAAATTGGGGAAAAACTTTATATTGTGGGCGTGTTTTAGTTTTTTTGTTTTCCACGCAAAATCAGGTTCTACAAACAATCATCCGAATGGGTTGATTGAAATACTGTAATAAGGCCCTTCCACTCGTGGCTGAAACGACAGTAAAAAATTTTTAAAAAGGTCCCCAATACCAAAAAAATTGATTCAAAAATTTCGAGACAGTCTAATTTCAAGCGGGTAACGCTCGCTATATAAAAGTTTAGTTTTTCCAAGTTCTTAGGATAAAATAACTTGTTTTGTCCATAAATAAAACTAGTTTTGGATGCTTTGATTAGTATATGTTGGAGCAGTTCAGTCTGGGGGTGGGGTGGAGATCTTTATCTATTAAGATAGGCTATAGACTATCCGTTCTCCACCCTATGTATTAACACATGGAATAGATTTTCCAATGTATTAAGATAGGATATAGGATTCAGGGTTTTAGATGGTAAGATGTTGTTACCAGTTTGACAAAATTGAATGAAAAAGTTTTTTTTCTACATCCGCTACCTTGCTTACATTAGCAAATATGACAATTTGATTGTGAAATTTGATTTTTTTTCTTCTAAAATTTACCATCTGAAGTTTACCATTGAGAAAACTATCACATCTTGATACATGGGATTTTAAACATTCCCGTTCAGAATCATAAACATTGCTGTGTCGGCAAGATCGGGCTCTCTGAATCCTATAACTTATCTTAATACATTGGTGAATCTTTTCGCGATGTTAATACAAAGAGTGGAGACAGGATATTCTACATTCTATCTTAATACATGGATGTCTCCGCCCCACAGACTGAACTGCTCCAACATATACTACTATTTCACTTAACTCTTTTTGGAAAACAAACCTTTTTTTAAAAATTAAATAAATCGTGTACCAAATTACAAGAAAAATACCAAAATTTTCTTTTTTAAGTTTTTTTAAATTTTATTGTTTCATTCATTTTTTTAAGACAAATGTTTTCGATCAAGCTTTTTAAACTACTTTTCTATAGTATCATATAACTCTCAAAGAACACCACCGACAAAAAACAACACTTATTTGAAGCGTAATTTTTTTTGTAATTTTGTAATGGAAATTGTCGGAACATTCTGTGCTACTTGCACAGCAAGCGGTTACCTTTGTTGTTTCGACCATTGAAAATGGGAAGAAAATTTGTATTTGGGTGTGTTTTATATATTATTTTATTTTCCAGCAAAAAATTAGGTACCACAAACAATCACCGGTCAGGGTTGTGTGATGTATCATACTAAAGCCCTTTTAGTCGTAATTCAAACGACCATAAAAAATTTCCAAAAAAAATTAAGTGCCGAGAAAAGTCGATTCCAAATTTTTGATTTTTCGTCTAATTTTGAGCGAGTAAAACAATCGAGTAACGTTTCTTATATTTAAAAAATAGCAATTTAGGCAAAAACATTTTGATTTTACTAATGGAAAAATTGTTTTGAAAGTTTCATTTAGCTCTTCTCTGGCAGTAGAAAAAAATTTCAGAAATATTTTAATTTTTTTTCGAGTTTTTGATGAAAACATTTTAGAAGACGATTGAGACTGTTTAAACCAAAACATAATTTGAAACTGTTTCACTAAATTTTTATGCGTTCGTGTAGTGGGATCACCACGCGACGTACAAAAAAGACACTAACTTGAAGAAAAATTTTTAAAAAAATGTATTTTTTCTGAGAATGTGGTCGGAACATGCTTTGCTTCTTGGACAGTAACTGGCTATCATTGTTTTGTTATAGTGACATCCGATCAATTAAAATTTGTTTCATTTCAAATAACTTTAGTCACATCTGTTTACATCTGATGGAGATTGTATGATCTACTGATACTAGTGAGAATTTGGTTTTTAATATTTGTTTTGCTAACTTGACCTTCCTTCACTCCGTCTGTTTCTATTGACATCTCATTGGGTCCCTTTACCACAACTTCGAACCCATAAAACTGTCTCTTAACCAACTTGTAATGAATGAAGTAAACGATCTGGATAGTTCCAGTGACAAGCAGAATCCCGCAGTAGCAGAGGCATGTATTGTAAAAACCGATTTTCTCGTTGATTAAGCCACCAAATAGAAAAGCTCCGATGGCCCTGCTAGACGACGATAATAAGTTGTAGCTGCCAGCTGCTAACGTTTTAATTTCTTGCACATTTTTGTACCCCTCTGAAAGAGCGATTTTTTCGACAATAAGATAATGCGGGTTAAACACAGCTGAAGCAAGGAAGCCTATGGCTGCTAGAATACCCAAAGCGTAATAAGTATTTTCGAAGGGGTCGATCCATTTTGGCAGGTAGAATAGTAGCATAGAAATCCAAGCGGTGGCTTGTGCCACTAGAAGTATGTACACTCCATAACCATGGCCTACAAGGATTCCGTAAAGAGGCGCGGCTATGAAAAAAGCTCCCGAACATGCCATAAAAGCATATCCCGTGTCTTCTTGAGACAGACCCAAATAGTCCTGGAAATACAGAGCGAAAGCACTGTCGCGGAATCCAGTTGTTGAAAATAACATCAAAGAAGGAAATATGAAAATCCACACTTTAGGTTTGACCAAAAATTTGACAAATTCGGTCGTTCTGAATGTAGATTTCAAAGGACCGCCGACGAATTTGGAAGGTATAATGAATATAGCTGCAATGAAAGCTACGCCTTCCGCTAACCCCGTCATCAAAAACGGAAACTCATAGCCTCCAATCGGAATTAGTAGACTACCCATTGAAGGTCCGATTACCAAACCAAGTCCCAACGAAGTGTGAATAATTGCTGTCATCATGCCCATGTTCTGGGGGAATAATCTACCTGCAATAGGCAGTGCAGTGTTCTGAAGAAGGGAAGCTCCGACTCCATTGACTAGTCGGCTCGCGAGCGATAAGTGGAAGAACGAGTCGGCTCCTGTAGCTCGTGCTGACCACCCGAAAGTGGCGACTGAGACTGCACACCAAATGACTCCAACGAGGTAGAAAAAAGTTATGTTTTTGGGAGAAATGCAGCTGGCGACAAAAAAGGAAGAAACGAGGCTTGTCATGTCAAATGATGCTGTTACCCATCCTATTTCTGTGAGTGTCAAACCTAAAATAAACATTTTTCATCGCTTATCTGAATGTTTGCGTTACACTTAATAATTTTCATCAACGAGCAAAATTACTAAATACGAGCTGAAGAGCTCAAAACTGCGATCCGTGTTTGACCCTTTTAAAAATTGTATCTTAACATTTTTTTTCCGACCTTTGAAAATGGGGACGAACTTTGTTTTCGGGTGTGCTTTAGTTGTTTCTTGTTTTATTTTTGTTTTCTACATAAACTCAGGTACCAAAAATAATTATCGGGGAATGCCTTTCAATCGTGATTTGATCGAACTTAAGATTTTTTAGAAAAAACATTCTCAGTGGAGAGAAAAACCTGTTAGAAGTTTGTAATTTTTGGTCTAATTTTGAGCGAATAAGGTGAGCGAGCAGGCTTATTTTGTTGTTCAACCGAAAGCGTTTACCACAAATAATCGTCTTAATGGATGGTGGAGTGACTTATCATGGTAATTTTTTTGAACATTGTTTTTTTCTTGACATTTTTTAACAAAAACCGAAGCCCTATTTTATTGTGACTGTCGAAAGTTTTCGTCACATCATTTCATCACACCAAGCACAAAAAACACTATTTTGAAACATAAACAGGAAAAAAGTGCAAGCACTTTTTTGAAGAAGATGGTCGGAACATTCTGTGCTACCTGAACAACAATCGGCTGTTTTTGTTGTTCGGAGCATTGCAAATAGGAGAATCTTTGTATTTGGCTGTTTTTTTTGTTTTTCGCGCAAAATTAGGTACCACAAAAATCATCGGGATGAATCGAGTGATACATCATATGAAATCTTTTATGAGTGATACATCATATAAAATAACATCATATGATACATCATTTTAATGTTTTCTAATTAAAGTATTTTGTGAAATGTTAGAAAATTTTAATTTTTTTAAAATCTATTTTTCAATTTTTGTATTGTTTTTTTTAGAAAAAATTTGTCAATCATGCTTAATTCAATTGTTTTCGACGCGATCAATGCAAAATCAGGTACCACAAATGATCATTTGAATAAGTCGAGTAATATACTGTACTAAAGATCTTTCACTTGTGACTGGAATGACATTAACATGTTTCAAAAATCGCTGTTTTATGGAATTTTTTAGACTTTAAGGATAAAAATTTAATTTTTTACTAGAAACAAAACTAGTTATGGATAATCTATTCAGCAAAAAGTTGTTTGCAAAAAAAATGTTCTTGTTTTGGAAACAGTTAAAATTGTTGTGACAAAAATTTGAAAAAAAAAATTCGTTTTTTCCAGAATTTTTTGTGTTATTCATTTTTTGAAGAAAAAAAGTTTTAGTCATGACTTCGATCATACAGTTTTTGAATTACACCATCCTCTAAAAATAACATTTATTTGAAAAAAATTTAAAAAAACTTTTTTTTTCTTTATTTTTCTATGAATCTGGTCGGAACAATCTCTGCTTTTTGCGCAAAATCAACGCAAAATTAGGGACCAAAAACTATGATTGGAATGGGTCGAGTAGTATACCATTTTAATCACCTTTCAATTTTGGCTAGAAGGACATTAAAAAGTTTCGAATAATACTTGTTTTATGGAATTTTTCTTAGACCTAAAGCATAAAAAACTTATCTTTACTACACAAAAAACTAGTTTTGGATGTTTTATTCAACACTTATTTGTAAAAAAAAAGTTTTTGTTTTGAAAACAGTTAAAATGCTTCTGACAAACATCGGGAAAAAAAATTTTTTTCTTCAATTTTTGTGTGTTATTTAATTTCTGAATAAAAATGGTTTTGATCATGCCTTGTTCGTTAATTTTCGCTGCGATCGTACAATTCTTCAATCACACCTATGACACTTATGTGAAAAAAATCATAAAAAACATTTTTTCTACATTTTTCATGAATATATTCGGAACAATCTGTGCTACCGGCACAGGTCCCCGCTATCCTTGTTGTTCCGACCATTGAAAATGGGGACAAATTTTTCATTTGTTTGTGTTTTAGCCTTTTTTGTTTTTACCAATCACAAGTACCACAAATAGTCATCGGAAAAAGTCGAGTGATAGACTATAGTAGAAACCTTTCAGTCGTGACGGGAAGAACATCAAAAAGTTATCAGAAAATTGTCCCAATGTCGAAAAAAATGTTGTCCCAATGTTGAATTTTTTGAGTTTCAATCTAACTTTGAGCGAGTAATGCGATCGAGTAATGCTCGCTATTAAGAAATCTTACTTTGTCTAGTCTCTGAGCATAAAAAACTGTTTACAAAAAGTAGTTTTTGATGTTTTATTTAACGCTTTTTAGCAAAAAAAAACGTTATCGAAAAAAAAATCAATTTTATTGTGCATCAAGTCGGAAAAAAGTACTAACATTTTTTTTCAAGTTTTTAATTTATGTTTTATTCTTCTTTTGAAGACAGCTGTTTTCGATCATGCCTAATTCACTATTTTTCTACGGGACCGATTAATTCTCGAATCACTCCACCCACTAAAAACGACACTAATTTGAAGAAGAGTAAATAAAACTTTTTTGCAATTCTTTTAAATGGAAATGGTCGGATTATTCTGTGCTACTTGCACAGTAACCGGTTACCCTTATTTCGTTTTGGGATTTGTTGTTCACCTTCTAGTAACGAAAACAGATCGTGAAGGATCCTACGAACCGCCAACCAATGGGTTGCGAGATGGAGGCTCTAGCACTAAAAGTATTCAGTTAAATATACTGATAATTTGCTGACTGACCTTTCTTGACCGCTTCTTCTGGAAAAAATGGACCGGAAAGTGACAAATTGATGCCGTCGAAGAAAATGGAAGTGGCACAAAGTAACACAGCCACCTGTCTTCGCAACAACGAATACTGAGCTGCGGTGGATTTGGGCGGGAACAATTGAGCACCTTCTGTCAATGTTATGGTTGTGGATTTGAAGTCGATCGGAGTTTCAATCTGCTTGACTTCATTGGAAGAGAGTTTTTCATCTCTATCGGTATCTACCTGTAGGTATTTCATTTTGACTTTTGAAAACCTTTTTTAAGATAGACGTTTGAATGGTTCGTGGACGATTTTTTAAAGACTGATCGTGAAATTTGATTCAGGAAAACTACTAAAAGTTCGATCATGAAAACTGCTAAAAACTAATTGCTTATGGATTTTGAACCGAAAACGAATGTTAAAATCGACTCGATTATTGCTACTCTTGATCCAGCTGAACAAAATCGCATTGTTTATAAATCATGATGGACCAATAATTAACCAAATGATTTGGTTGAATGTTGTTTAGAAGATATAATTTTGTTTATAATGCTCATTGAATGCGAGTCCATTTGAAACAAAGAATCATTTTTCGGTTTTGCCCTCTGCCATATTTAACTTGATTGTTTTGATTCCTTTCGCCTACATTAGCACTTATCTGCCAATCAACTGGCAGTCAAAAATTTACTTTTGTCATGGCCATTAAATGCACTCGCCAAATTAGCTTGACTCAAAATGAAACGGACGCGGATAACTTTAACGAACTCAGTACTACAGTAAAACTATAGGTAGCAACCAAGAAAACTTGAAATGAACCCAGAAAAAGTTTGCATATTTAAAATACAATTCAAACTGCTGCTTCGAGGTCTACTTAACGTCTTTCGACGGTTATGACTAGCCTTCAAAGAAAAGGTCAACGCAAAACAAAACGATGGAAACAAATTGATAATTTGTATCGAGCTCTTAGGTTTTAGGACTCAGCGCTGTAGAAGATGTCAAGTATTGTAACCAATCGAGCTGATGTAAAAAATGAACGCTTGCGCTTGAAGATTTTCTGTTTCTCTCGGTTCATATGCAGCTAAATCTTGAACAATTTATCTGTGAAAACTGAAACAGGTTATTTGAAACAATTAATTTGAAGTTTCCGGTTGTTTATTATGTCAACGATTTGAGAAAATATTTAGGAAGGGCAAAGTAGTGTATATGAGACCCTTGGGAAGCTACTTGAGAAGATATGAGTAAAAATATTGGATTTCAGGAAATGACCGTTAGGCAAGGTAAGCAAAGATAAAGATTTGAAAAAAGAGTCAATAGACTCACACTGTTTTTTGATGAAATGATTCAAAGACTTAGGGAACAAATAAAATGCATTCAAAAGACTCTATTTTTTGACAATTTCCAAATTTGACAATTCAACCGTAGAATAAAAGGCCAACTGCTCAAAACATTGTATGTTTTGCTAAAAATCACTTTGTTATCAAAGATAATAAAGTTAAAGTGTTTCACATTTTTTCAGTGAACCAATTGTTGACTTATTATGTGTTTCAACCTGTCATTTTAAAAATTGTGCATTTTTGGAAAGGGAGGTTTTTAAAACAAAGCAAAGTTACTAAAAAACTGAAAATCGAGACTAGCGAAAACCCATTTGGCTCGATGAGCAATGGCCTTCTGACGAGCTTTTGCTAAAACAGTATGCCGATGAGCTAAATCTGATCACTGCTACAAATAAATTCAATGCGAGCGTAAATATTGACCGATTCTCTCATTTGATGCAACAAAGTCTTGAAAATTTTTATCTGTGAACAATGAAATGGGTTAATTGAAAGCCAAATATCTTTTTTCTTCAATATAACATAGCTGCTATCAGCCCATGGACAACGCATTAGCAATAAAAATAGAACAGATTTCGCGGAAAGCAGATTTCACTCTAAGCCGCAGTAAAAATAGAAAACTTTTTTCTCAGATATAGTACTTAAACGCATAAAAAAAAATCAATCATTCTAGAAAATTTTGTTACCCAAATAATCTGAACTGAATAGTTTTTTCACGATTAAATTTATAAGAACTTTTTTTTATTGATATTCCTTGTTATTCCAGGAAGGTCTGTTGTTGACAGTTTTAGAAAATAAATGAAAAGTTCAAATTTAGAAGTGGCCTAAGCTATTCAATTTGCCATCTAATTTGCCTTTGCTAGTTTTTTTTTTAACTTTGACAACAAAAACGAGTGTCGTTCAAGTAGCTAAGAATTATGTCCTTGTAAATCAGTTGGTTGGGCGGCAGCAGAAAGCCTACGAAAACAATCAAATCATGATGGGAATTTCTTTTCTTGTTTTATTTTTGGTACTGTTTTTGTCTCAACTTATAGCTTTAGTTTTTACTTTTGCCTTGTTCAAATTTTTTGGATCCAAATACACTGTAACCATGCTACGTACACTTCAAATGAATCAATTTCCGGTGAAATTTAATAGAAGTAAAGTCAAAAATACTAGTGTAAACTAGGCAAAAATTAGCCAGAACTATGAGATTTATCTGAACGATCGAAATTTCAAAAAAAAAGTTAATCAACTGTTTCTGAAAAATTACCACAACAATTTTTTGAAGGATGGAAGAAGCGTTTCCGCAGAATGCCAAAAAAATTTTTTTAAAGCATGGAACAATTTTTTCGAAAACGAAAAATGAGTTAGTAATTATTTGAACTGGTACATCTTTTGTTATTTAAATTTTTTATCAGAGTGATGATACAACGCAGGACCAAATTTCTTTTGAATGCGACAAAAGGTTTCAGAAAAAGAAAAATAACATTTTCTAGATGTCTAATTAAATCTTTAGCGATTCACGCTCATGACAAAGCAGTAAGGAGTTTACAAAAACAACAAACATGCAGAGGTGATTGCTCACAAAAGAATATAGAATTCTATTTCCGCCGATTAATTTCGAACCTTAAATTATCCAGTTTACTAGATAATGCTCAAAAGTTCACAGATAGAAATCACAGCTTGTATTATCATTCAAAATTTGCACGAAAGGCGAACGAGACCTGTTTCATGAAACCAAACCTCATTATTATGGGAAATCAATTTCTGAATCGCAAGAAAAAATGATTTTAATTTAAGCTTTTTTTGAACACAAACCAATGGTTTACTCCAACAGAAACGTGACTAAGTTAATCGTCGAATCTAAATATCATGTGTGCGGGGATTACAAAATTAAAAATGAGAAGAAAAAGATCTGTCTAGAAGCCTAATGGAAAGTCTCAGGATGTTTGACTTGACCCTGAAATCATTGCTGGAAGCCACAAAAAAACACTCGGAGAACTTAATTGATATGGTCTTCTAATAACTTTGATGCCAAAAAATTAGTAGAAGAAGCATCTATTACTCATCGGAAGGCATTTTCAACAAAACCATTGTATTTGAAAAAAAAGCAGCGCCCCGCTCTAGCAGGTCAAGGAAAAAAATTGAGGATGAACATTGTTTTTTTTTCTTATTAAAAATTCGTTATATCAATAGATATCTTGCGCCCAATGTTTCTCGATGTACAACTAAACAAGTGTTTTCCTTCGTTTTACAATTTTGCAAGTCATCTTCAAAATACTGTGGATTAGAAACTGCCAGTTTTGGAATTGAAAGTAGCAAAAACCAAAGACATGGATTTCAATAGAAAATGAAAGTGAAAATGCGTAAAACAAAAACTACGGATTTTTTTTGTACAGAATCCTACAGATGTAGCAAATGTTCTTCTAAAAGGAAACGCAAACAGGTAACGAACGTGCTAAATTTTCAAATGAGACACAAATAGAAAAACCATTTTTATCAACATTGTGAAGCCTACAATAAACAAAAACGAAGATCAATAGTGCAATTTGAGTAATGTTTGAATATAAAATTATACCCATTTATTGTTAAAATGGACCCAGTTGAACTGAATCACTAGAAACGGACTAAATATTCAAAATTTAATAAGAAAACACTAGTGAATGCATGCTGTTTAGTGGAAGAGAAAGAAATTTTTCAAACTATTGGTATTTTGCAAAACAACAAAACCATGGTTTTAGGGCTGTGAGCTTTTGATCAAAGCAACCAAACTCACGATCTGTCATACTCTCACAGGCTTGTTCACTCGAATGGAAGAAAACTTTTTTAAAAAACAAAACTAGATACAGTGCAAAAACAACAAATCATTTCAATAAAATTAGTCACCTGGAAACGCAAATTCGAAGAAATAAGATTGACATCACTAAAATACAAAGTTCCTTCAATGTATGAACTTTATAAATGAAGTCAAAGAAATATTTTGAAAATTCATAAGAAAATAACTTATGAGTGTAGATGATTGGATGTAAACCAATAAATAACATCAAAAGAGGTAAGCATGCATTTTCTTAGTGACACATCGATTAAAACATACAAACCACAATCCGTAATGAACGTTATCAACAAAAAATGAGCGAGTTAGACTTCTTTTTAACTTGATTGTCAAACTAGGCTATAAAAATTTGTTTAAGATAAAACAAAATCCGGCGCCAAAATAAGAAAGTTTTGTTCATAAATTTAGAGGCCTATTTCTGCACAATAAATTTTTCTGTGCAATTTTTTTGGTACATTTTTTGTTGAAATTCTATTTGACGTGGTAAATAGTTTGTTTTATAATAAAAATTGTAAAAAAATTGTTGTTGATTTTTAAAACTTCGACCCACATCAACAAAAACGGTACAAGTGAACCTTTAGAGTTTCAGCGGATGAAAACCAAAGTTTTTGATTCTGGCCTTCCAAATTGCTGATAAATAGCATTGGCAAACAGGCTTGTAGTCGTATAGTGACCAATTGAACCGGCGCTCTCAAAGTTAAAAAAATTTTAAGAAACATTTTCTGTAGTGTGCTCGATTCCTAAGCGAAATTGTTATGATTATGATTATTACCTTTTTATTTCATGAAAAGGCTCTTTTTCCTTTTCTCCCCCCACCTCACACAAACATGAATCTTATAGTCTAACGAGTAGGGAAAATGAAAAAGAGCCCTTGAAAAAAGTCACAATCAACAATTGATTTAAGAACAACTGTTGTTTGAGAGAATTCAGAAGACAGTTTTGGCTGATTTTCAATGCAGAAACAAATTTATTTGTTTTGAATTCCTTCGCCGTGTTTAAAAACTTGTTTACGGAGTCCAGACACACACACACACGTCAAATGGTTATGAGCGCACAGTTTGGCCTCATAACGTCCTTTGGTGATTATGCGCGATCAACTTTTCAATTTTCCAGTAGT